AGTGGAGTGGAGTGGAGTGGAGTGGAGTGGAGTGGAGTGGAGTGGAGTGGAGTGGAGTGGAGTGGAGTGGAGTGGAGTGGAGTGGAGTGGAGTGGAGTGGAGTGGAGTGGAGTGGAGTGGAGTGGAGTGGAGTGGAGTGGAGTGGAGTGGAGTGGAGTGGAGTGGAATGGAATGGAATGGAATGGAATGGAATGGAATGGAATGGAATGGAATGGAATGGAATGGAATGGAATGGAATGGAATGGAATAGAATAGAATAGAATGAATGGAATGGAATAGAATAGAATAGAATAGAATAGAATAGATGTATTCATACCTGGGAATTCTGTGAAATTTTTTGGCCCATTTTCTCTGTTTCTTTTGTCTGGTAGCATGTGTGCTAATTGGCACAAATTTACTCTGTGGATAATGTTGTTTTGAAGCATACATGAAGTCTCTATGTAATGCTGGCTGTAATGTTGTCCATAAAAACTGAACTTGAGTATAATTACTTCTTATTAGGACCCCTTCTAGTATCTGACATCTCTGAAAGAAAAGAGGAAAAATAATATTTCTCATTAAAATGAAAATGAATCAAAAAATATCATTTTCAACCAAAAATGACAGAAATATTTACTAAAATTAGAGAATGGAAGTTATCATAAAACATATAAAAACAGTCTAGGCTAGGCTAGTCAGTTGGCTTTGTCTTTTCATAAAAAACTGAGTATCATTTTCTTGAATAATTTCAATCCTGTATACATGTAGTAATTTTCTAATACTAACAGGGGTTTTTCTAAACCGGGGAACAGGGGCACAGCCCCCTGGTACTCTCGGCTGGCGCCCTCTTACTGAATTGCCGATTGAACTTTCAAGTCATAAATATATTTCTTGAGCCGCCCACTTCCGTGCTGCTGTATAACATGAAATCTTTCTCAAATATATTTTTCTCCGTGAAAACTTCCCAGCAACCTTCCGATATGGCGTTTCCAGGTTGATCGCCTGTGTGTGCTCCCTCTTGTTTATTTTTTCTAGAAAAACCCCTGACTAATATGAAACATATTTAGACAGATTACAGTTTTGAAAGCAAGTTTAAAGTTATCTTAATGTTACATTGTAAGTTATACCCAGACCATACTATAATACCAAACAATCCAGTTTATAGCAGTTTTGAAAGCAAGTTTAAAGTTATCTTAATGTTAAGTTATACTCAGACCATACTGTAATACCAAACAATCCAGTTTATAGCCGTTTTTAAGAAGAAGTCAAAAATAAAATGACAAAAATATTCATTAAAATGAGTGATTTGAAAGCATCATCACAAAATAAACATATCTAAAGGTACACCAAGGATAACTACATGTACATACAAAATATGAAAGCCCTTTCTAATAATCAAAAAGATTTTTTTCCCAAAATGAGTATGAAACCCATACAGCTGACATTTTTTAAGAATAAGTAAAAAATCCAGTAATATGAATAGCTCTACACTGTTGATAACACAGCTAAGAATTTGTCTCTCAAAAATTGAAGTGAGAAAATATTTCAACAAAATTCTGACTTTGAAATATGGACACGACAAGCACAAATTAATTGCATTTGGTTATGCATGTACAACTGTTTTTTATATCATATTAATTGCATTTGGTTATGCATGTACAACTGTTTTTTATATCATATTAATTGCATTTGGTTATGCATGTACAACTGTTTTTTATATCATATTAATTGCATTTGGTTAAGCATGTACAACTGTTTTTTATATCATATTAATTGCATTTGGTTATGCATGTACAACTGTTTTTTATACATGTATCATATTAATTGCATTTGGTTATGCATGTACAACTGTTTTTTATATCATATTAATTGCATTTGGTTATGCATGTACATCTGTTTTTTATATCATATTAATTGCATTTGGTTATGCATGTACAACTGTTTTTTATATCATATTAATTGCATTTGGTTATGCATGTACAACTGTTTTTTATATCATATTAATTGCATTTGGTTATGCATGTACAACTGTTTTTTATATCATATTAATTGCATTTGGTTAAGCATGTACAACTGTTTTTTATATCATATTAATTGCATTTGGTTATGCATGACATGTACAACTGTTTTTTATATCATATTAATTGCATTTGGTTATGCATGTACAACTGTTTTTTATATCATATTAATTGCATTTGGTTATGCATGTACAACTGTTTTTTATATCATATTAATTGCATTTGGTTATGCATGTACAACTGTTTTTTATATCATATTAATTGCATTTGGTTATGCATGTACAACTGTTTTTTATATCATATTAATTGCATTTGGTTATGCATTTGTACAACTGTTTTTTATATCATATTAATTGCATTTGGTTATGCATGTACAACTGTTTTTTATATCATATTAATTGCATTTGGTTATGCATGTACAACTGTTTTTTATACATGTACATGTATCATATTAATTGCATTTGGTTATGCATGTACATGTACAACTGTTTTTTATATCATATTAATTGCATTTGGTTATGCATGTACAACTGTTTTTTATATTAATTGGCAATAAGAACTTAGCATTGTTATAATACAATTACAATGAAATGTAGGTTCAAAGAATGTTGCCATGGGAAACTTAAATAAACATGTAATGTTATTAATTACTTTAAGTCAAGTGTTTTGTCC